TGTGGGATTCTCCGTGGAGACCCGGGTGAGCCGGCCGACTCCGGACTCACGGAGCAGTAAGATAATGCATGGGTGTTGCATTAAGCCACTAAATTTGTGGTAATTCGTTATATAGCAATAAAAAAGCAAAATGGTGCTGGATTAATTGTGGTGCTCTCTTCCCTGCCCCATTACGTTTACAAGGTGTTTTACATGTAACAAAACACCTCCGTCGGCGGGGGCAGACCAGCAAGGCTCGCTACGGCGGGGCAGGCGTCTCCGTGTTTACAGGTGAGGAGGTAGGCTCGGGGAGGTGCAGGGGCTTGCCCAGGACACTCAGCCGGCGAAAAGGAGGCCAGGTGACTTGCGCAGGGCTCTTTCTGTGACTTGGTTTGAGGGCCTGGTCTTCACTCTCTCTCGCTATCGAATGGGAGCAGTGTGAGCCTTTGGAGACTTCGCAGCTGGGAGCTTGCAGAGGAGGGTGAGACAATTCCAGAGGAGGACGCATCGGGGGAGGGGTCCACCTGCTTCCCCAGAGGGGTCCTTTCTTGCCTCTCTGGGCCGTGGCCAGAAGAGCGTGGCGTCAGTGACCGTGTGTGAGGGCCCGGTGCCGGGCAGCCGCAGGACGTGGGCGCTGGGGAGCTCGGTCTGAGTGGTGCAGGGCAGAGACACGCAGACCTGTGACGTCGAGAGGCGTGGGGTCTGCAGGCTGACCTCCCCGGTGGGGGGTTGGCTGAGGTGGGGCTGCAGGCGCAGGTCACCCGCTTTCTTTGCCACAATCAGCATCCCTCCCCACGCGTGCGCCCGAAGCCCTTAAAGGGGCCCTGACGTAGCATCATGGAGCAGAGCATCATCTAGAACCCTGGACGCCAGGGGAGACTGAGGTTCAGAACATGGACTTCTTCAAGGTCACAGTCGCCTTGACTTTCCATGGAAGGGTCCCCCCAAACAACATACACACATGCGAGTGCACGAACACACACACACACACACACACACACTACGCCGAGCTGTGTTATCATGGCCGTTCTCCACGTTGGTTCAGGATCGCTTCCCGATGAACCAGAGTTGCTCACCAAGCAGCTGCAGTGTGTGTGTGCGTGTGCTGACCTCTGCGTGGGCCAGAAGTGTGTATTTACTGCTGTCCGGTGACAATAGAGTCCAGCACTGACCGAATGCAGGCCCTGGGCTGGACACTGTCTCGGAAGTGCCAGGAGTTAACTCACGGACTCCCGACAGCAAGCCCATGGGGCCACAGGAAGTCACCGGGGCACTAACACGTGTTTTTGGCAGAGGCGGACCCAGGTTTTGTGTGAACCGGGGTGAGGGGGATTCACAATCTCACGGCTCTTTCGTGGTGGGCCTGGGCTACGAGACCGTGTGTCCCAGTTCCCCAGGGGATGTGGGGGAATGGTGGGGACCTTTTGTAAACTGCACACTAGTCCCACCCCAAGGCAGAGCCAGTCAGCTGCAGCGGATGGCCGTCACCGGGATCGTGCGGGTTTGAGCTGGGTGTGGCCGAGCTCCCCTGCGCCAGGGGAGAAGGGGCTGTCACGGGGCAGGGCTGCCCGGAGGCCACAGCTCTGCCTGGGCTCTGGGGCGAGGCCACGCTGTCCCCATGTGCCCGGCCACCCCTTGGGCCATGGGTCCGTGGGGCTGAGCTGGTCCTGGGAGAGCCAGCGCCGTGGAGAAGGTTGTGAATCTGAACTTGAAGGTTTTGACAAAGAAAGTCACGGATGAGCCTAGTTAGTGTCCAGCACGTGGGGCCTCCCGCGTCACCCCAGACATTCCCAAAGCGCGGGGAGGACTGCGAGTGCCCCGGAGGGTGCAGCCCCCCCCCCCACTCCCCGGAGGTGGACGCCTGTAGGCGAGGCGTTCGGGAAGTTGGGGTACCTGAGGAAACGGGGCCCCGTGCTGCGGGGCTACTCAGGGCTGTTCACAGGCCACAACCTCCGGGCAGCTCCTGAGTGTGGAATCTTTTTTTTTCTCCTTTCCGCCCCCCCCAGAATCTCTTGGAAAGCATGTACATGAGAAAATTCCTGGAGACAGGCTGTCTGATCTGCGGCTTCTCTCCTCACCTCTCAGCACCCTCATTTGTTTCTTGACAGGTGTCTCTTACGATTGGAGTTTTCTCTCACCAGGAAACGTTTCATTTGTCTGCCTAGGCATTGGTTCAGAAAAAGTTAGGTGGTCCAGGGGAGACCCGGGGACGTCACTGTCTGTCCCTGGGACCGCGTGTCCTCGGGCTCTCCAGGGTGGGCGCTGGCTCTCTGCGTGTGCTCCACTCCGAGAGCCTTTCGCTGCCGGGATTCCCAGCCCTGGGCCGGGGCGGGGGTCACTTTAAGGCCCAGGGACAAAGGCCGTCGGGAGGTGCCAGCCTTCTAGAGGAAGCCCTGTCTTGCTGGCCGGGGGTGGGGGGTGGGGGGGACGCGGACTGGGGGAGGAGGGAAAGGAAGGGGAGGAGGAGAGAAGCCCCTGAGTGGTTGACCCAAAGGGGCCCCTTTTACGGCCTTCCTGTTTATGGCTGAGAAGTAAACAGCTGGGGAGCCAGGTCGTCTCCAGCCGCAGCTGTGGCCGCGAGCTGGCCTGGGACCCGGGCTCTCTGGGTGGCAGTGGGCGGGGCATCTGCCAGTCACGCCAGTCTCAGGGGGCACTTCTCTTTAAACAGAATCCCGGGGTCCTTTTCCTTTACCTCACGCCATCTGCTTCTCCCACGCCCGCGTTCCTGTTCCTTTTGGGGGGTGGTACAGGGGGATGGGCTTGGGGTTCAGGTCCCGGCTGTGCCACGGAACAGCTGTGTGGCTTCAGGAGAGCGCAGGGCCTCTCTGGGCCTCCTGTGCAGTGAAGGACAGGGGGGACCTGAGAGGAGGAGGAGCTGGGGCCGGGGAGTGGCACTCCCGACCTGCCCGGCGTGTGTGGTGAGTGTCAGTCCGTGCTTACCGGCGTGATTATTATTTCAGCGGTGCTCCGGCGGAGGGCCGTCATGGGGTGGGGGTGGGGGGGCACACCCCCCTCTGAGAGAGCCCCTGGCCTGGGTCCAGCAGCCGCTCTCTCTCTCCCTCCCTGTCCGAATGGGGGCCCGGAGCACTTCGCAGGCTGTGATGGACGAGGAGGTGCCCAGACTAAGATGGAGAGCGTGGGCCGGGGGCAGCCCACGCCGGCAGATCAATAGACTATAATTATCGAGAACGGGGTCTGCGGGAAGTAGGGAGTCCTGCAGACGGAGAGAGACGCCCGCGAGAGGAGACAGCGAGGGCAAGACTGATGGGCGCAGACCAAGCGCACGCCCCAGGGAGCGTGGGCTGCGAGTGCGACCTCGCGGGTGGGCCCGCCCCTGTGGGCGTGGCGGCAGGAGCAGGGGCGGGACCTGCACACCTGTTCAAGCAGGCACCGGCGCCGTCGCCCGGGGTCGGCCCGCATCAGCCCTTGAACTGCTAACGCACACGGCTGCACGGGCCCAGACACAATGTCTGTGAAGACTGCTGTGTTCACGCTGGGAGTGAAGGTGAGATCTTCTCACGCCCGCGTGCCCCGCCCACTCCGTCCAGGGAGCGAGGCTGAGACGGGAGAACCAGGCAGGCTGCCCCGTGTCCGGTTAGAACTCCTCCTCCGACGTCGCCCCAGGACGTCACTGCGCCCCGGGGTGGAGGGCTCCCTTCCAGGCCCTCCACCCGAGTGGGCCCTCGACCCTGGAGTCTGTGCCCCACGCTGTCCGTCTCCAGGACGCGAAGGCCTGCGGGCTGCTCGAGAGTCCCATGACGCAGACGCGTCCCTAACGGCTCCAGAGAGCCCTCTTGAAAAGTCGCTGTTCCCCTGACACCCAGCACTTGAAACTTTGAGGCCTCCCGGCAGACAGGGGGGTGGAGCCCGTGGGCGTTTTCTTGGCCCTGGGCCCCACACCCCCCCACCCCCATTCGGTCTGGCAACCTTTGCCAGCAGACGACCGGCTTCGGCAGTGGCGGGCACTAGATTGACGTGTCCCCTGAGTGCAGGAGAGGGACCCTCACGGGAGGCATGCTTGCGTGTCCCTTGGCCAACGGGTGGAGCGCCCCCTCTTTTTAAAGGTGATATGTTTGAAAACAGAAGCACACGCTCACTCACTTGTTCGACGTTGGGCTTTGCCGCGCACCTGGCATGGGCGGTGGCTTTGTGAGCATCAGCCTCCCGGCTCCCGGGGGTGCCCGTCGGAACTATCTGCCCCTTCGCTTGTGGGTAGGAGCACTGGGCGGAGGCACTGCCTCCCTGTCACCGAGCTCGCAGATGGCCACGGTGGGGGGGGGGGCATCCGAACTGCATGGGACCCTGGCTGCTGTGGCCCAGTGGACTGAGTGCCAGCCTATGAACCCAAAGGTCACCGGTTCGACTCACAGTCAGGGCACAGGCCTGGGCGGCAGGCCGGTTCCCCGGTTGGGAGCACGTGAGAGGCAACCAGTCAATGTGTCTCTCACACACTGATGATGTTTCTCTCCCTCTCTCTCTCTCTCTCTCTCCTGCCCTTCCCCTCTCTTCTAAGAAGTAAATAAATAAAATCTTTAAAAATAGTTTTTTTAAAAAAGAATGGCATGGGAAGCTCAGGGTCACCACCCCCTTTGTCCGTGAGGAAACCGAGGCCCTGACAGGCTAACTCCCAAGGCCTCATGGCGCAGGAGCTGCCACCCAAGGAGGCTTGGTCTGGTCCTCTGGCCGGTCCTCCGAGGAGGAGCCCAGGAGAAGAAGACGAGGGACACACAGGGAGCCCCGGCCTGCTTCGGGGGGAGGCGGTCTCCAGGATCCGTCTCACACCCCTCCACCCCTGGCTCCAGCCCTGCTCGCCACCCAGAAGTGTGTGCACGCCCCCAGCCCCGGCTCTAGGTGACCCATTTTACATACCGGTCAGCCCCCTGCGCTCGGCTGGGGAACCGCACGGCGGCCCAGGTTCCCCAGAAGGCCAAGGGCAGGAGCATGGGCCTGGCTGGTGGAGACGCCCAGGACTGTCTCTGCCTGTATGTGCCCTCTGAATTCTGGCTTTTCTCTCTGAGCAGCACCACCTGGAAAGGCCTCTGCCATCTGGAGGCAGAAGCAAGAACACTGCGTGTGCCCATGTGGCCGGGTGCAAAGGGACCCTCCGTGAAATGACTGTTCTGCCACTTGGGTGGTTTGTCCTGCACACAGGTGCGCAGGTGCCCCCACCCCCCAAACCTGCCTGGTGGGGGAGATCAAAGAGGAGGAAGGAGGGACCGCGCAGCAAGGGGGTGGGGCTCTAAGCACAGCATAGTCTCGCTTTTTAGGAGAAGAGGGTTTCTACTTTGCTTCTCTCCTCTTTCTCTTTCTTTTGTCCTTGCAAGTTGCCGCTGTGACCTCGGGCAGAGTGCTCCAGGGCGCCTGTTGATCCTTATCTTTTCTCTCGTGTGTGTGTGTGTGTGTGTGTGTGTGTGTGTGTGTGTGTGTGTGTGTCTAAGCCCTGCTTTCAGCTGTAGGAAACTGTGGAAGAGTTTCATTTGGATACAATGAAGCCGGAGACAAGCAGCTACCTACCTTTCCTCTCTGCTCTCAGAACTTGCGGGATTCTTTCCCTCTCTCAACGGCCACGCACCGTTTTCATTTGGAAACGTAGTTTTCTGCCTCTATAGGATATCCCTAGAGAAAGTGTGGTTTAAAAAGAAGGGGTGTGTGTGAGGGTTTCTGCTTTCATTAAAAGGAAAAGCCACACGAGGTCGGTCCCACAGTCGGTTAAGACACAGGTTTCCCGAGCGCCCCGCACAACCCCCCGCCCCCCCAGGGGTGAGTGCGGGCTTGGGAGCCGGGTTCCCCTCGTTTCTTCAGAAACACCAATGGGAGACGTCACGCAAGGCGTCCCATGGGTAGGATTCAACGTGGCTTTGTTTTTCTGAATCGAAGGCAACTTTAGTTGCAATAAGTGGGATACATTTTTTCTGGCCACTGCGGCCTGTCGGGGGCTGTTTCGCATGGGGAGAGGTGGCTGCTGTCTGTGGAAGGCGAGGAGCTGTTTCCAGCACAGGTTTTCTGGGCCGGAAGAGTAAAAAGGCGGGGGAAAAATGATGCCCGTTATCGACTGTCTCTGTGTTTTTTTCCAGCGGAGATTGTCTTCCTCCTTCCCAGGTGGCTTCCCTCGCCACGCCTGTGGCCCTACCCCCTGCCCTCCCCATCCCCGCGAAGCAAGGCCACGGGCTTGGACGCCCACGGGTGAGGGGGGCGCGGGAGGGAGGGCCGGAGGGGAGGCTGTGGGAGCGGAGCAGGGTCCACAAGCAGAACTGAGAGCTGAACGTCAGCTGGCCACAGGCCACCGTGCCGAGGGGAGACGGGCCTGGAGGTAGCAGCCGCTTCTTCTCCTTGAAACGGAGTTCCACATCCCGACCCCAGGGAAGCTTCCCCTTTGGGGCACTTTAGGAGATGAGTATGGAAATTGCAATGGCTGATGCCGCGTTTTTAAAAGCCTCACTTTTTTTTTTTTAAAGATATTAATTTGTTGGAAGCCTTTCCTGGAGGCAGGCGGGAAAGACACTGGAGGAACAGTGTTGTAGCTGAAGTTATCGCCAGCTCTGTTTCCTGATGGGACGGCTTATTCTGACCCCTCCATCTTGTTCTGTTCTTCACAACCAAACACGTGTAGGAGAAGGACTTGGTTTCTTTTCTTTTCTTTTTTTTTTAAAGATTTTATTTATTTATTTTTAGAGAGGGAAGGGAGGGAGATAGATAGAGAGAGAGAGAAACATCAATGTGCGGTTGCTGGGGGTCATGGCCTGCAACCCAGGCATGTACCCTGACTGGGAATCGAACCTGGGACACTTTGGTTCCCAGCCCGAGCTCAATCCACTGAGCTACGCCAGCCAGGGAGGACTTGGTTTCTGATTTGTCCTCCTTTCTCCCAAGGGCTCCTCAGTGCAAGGGTTCAGAACCGTAAATGGATGCATACACGAGACATATGCTGGCTGGCTGGGCAACCCCAGTTTTCTCTGTGGCTCCCCCTAAAGCCCCCATGGTGCTCTGTACACGCCCCCACCCCCACCCTTGAAGTGTACATCCTGGCGGCCCTGACACAAGCTGAAGGTTTCCAGCCCTTCCCAAGTTCCAAGATGTCTCCCTCCCCACGCCCCCTGGGTTTCTCCCCGTCTCTCTCTGGGCATGGACCAAACGCCCCCTGTGCGGGCTGATTTATAGTTGCATTAGGGAAAACTCCACAGAAGGTATAAAATACAGTGTCCCGTGCCAGAGCCCCATCTTACATGTTATCGGTGATTGCAAGTGCGTTTTATAACCCCGGTGCCGAATCGAAATCAAGGTGATTGGCGCATCAATCTCCCAGATACGATCGGGGCATGCTCTGCTGTGTTCGACCTTCCTGGTGCCTTTGGCTGGTCCGGCCTGTCTAAGTCCCTGGGACCATTACTCAGGGAAAGTTGGAAAACGCAGCGATAATGGCCAGTGTGGGACCACCTAAAGGCTTAACCAGGATAGATAGATAGATAGACAGACAGACAGATAGATAGATAGATAGATAGAAGGCAGAATGGCGTCTGAGAGACCCAGGCTGCTGGCCAGGTGGGGGGTCCCTGAAGTTGCTGTCCCTTGCTCTTCTTCGTCTGCACCCCCGAGCTCTCGAAAATCTAGAAAGAAAAACGTGGAACTTTATGAAAAGCTGGCAGATGCCTGGGCCTCAGACAGGTCGGAGAAGGAGCTGAGTTTCTGGAATGACTGGAGGCGCTGAGACAGGGTTGACATCGGTGGCCTCTGTCCCCTCGCCGCCCAGCCTGGGTCCCCCCGTGCTGATTTTCCTAGAAAAGGGTCTGGGGCTTCCGGAAAACGCCGTCTCCTTCAGGAGAAGTTCCGATCCTACCCCCAAATGTCGATGGGTAGGCTCCCAAGGGCCCGGCAGGCAGGGTCCAAGATATTTTGAACGGATCCGTGGAAATTATAGATTTTTAGAAGCTGAAGGCTCTTGGAGGGATGGTCAGAGGGTATATTTAAGGTAAATATTTTCAAGTCGGGGTTTTATGCCTATAATCTGAGCTCCTCAACTTATATTTAGCCCAAACTTCTTTGGAAAGTAATTCCGTCTCTTTTGATTCCGCGCCCTTTCATAGTCCCGGGGAGGAAGCCGGGCTGGCTGGCTAGCGGCGAATGCTGCTTTGCAAAGCCTCTGAGACATGCTAATGTGCACGGGCTGATTATTAAGATAAATGCCTTGTGTTGGAAACTGGAGTTAATTATAATATATATAATTAGTTGCTGGTCAGCCTAGAAGTTATAATTTATTGTTCCCTAATTTGCATTTATTATCAAAGATATTTAATTGGAAGGAATTACCCAAAAAAAAAATAACCTGATTTGAGCGGTTATGGAGATGGTGGGATGGTGGGCATTTAGCAAACTTCAAAACTCCTTCGAAATAAAAAAAAAACACAACTTTTCTGAACCGGTTATATACAATTTCAGGAAATAACACGGCGGCCCCCGGAGAAGACTTGGGCCGGTGATTAAAACGCAGGGAAGCCGTCTCTACGCGAGCGGCGGTGCCGTCCCGGCTTCCAGACCCCGGGTTGCGGGGCCCCAGGTGAGCCCGAGGGCCGGGAGGGCCCGGGCCGAGGACGGGGGTGGCGCTCGGGGGGGACGAGGCCATGCTCTGCGCCCCGTCGAGGGGGGAGAAGACAGTGACACGCAGGTGTGCTCCCTTCCCCCGGACAGGTAGAGTTTTCACGTCCCAGCAGATTGTGGTGGTACCTTTTCTGCAGCGTTTGCAGAAAGCGCCACTCGCCTTCCAACATACCGCTTCTCTGCGTTCTTATTTTATTTTTATTTTTATTTTTCATCCGAGTCCTGCCCGGGTTACAATGCTGGGCTCCTTCAGCTGCACATCAGTGAGCGATTTTGGGGCGACCCCTTCGCCTGTGAACTAAGTGATAGCCCCCAGTCCCCCGTCTCCCAGGAGCCCTCTTTCTAGTAAACATGCGGCAATCTGACTGCCGTGAGCCGGCGTGACGTGTGTCCGCAGGAGGCGTGACAGCCCCGGGCGGTCAGATTTTCCCGTGTCGAGGGGAAGGGACCGACCATGCATCCCAGGTCCCTCTCCCCAAGGGTGCGCCCCGTCTGGTTTCCGTGCTGCCGATGCAGGTCGCCCGGCAGCCTCTCGGGCGTGATTTTGGAGCTTGCGGAATGCTGAGATCCGGCTGCCACTCCCTCTGCCCCCGCCGTGTCAGCGGTCGGAAAGGGGGTGTTTGGCCTTGTGGCTCTAGAGGCGGGGGTGCGGCTCAGTCGGCGTGGGAGTGACCGGAGTTCTTCCTGCGGACAGACATTCTGCTCTTCCTTACAGAAGGAGAGGTTGGGGCTGAGGGTGGGGAAGGGCTTCTTCAGGACGAGACCTCAAACCACCCTCGTGGGTTCCCGAGGGAGCTCCCAGTCATTTCTGCAAAGGGCCGCCGGGTCCCCCCTGCTCAGGAAGCCCCGGTGCGTAGTGCACCAAGGGGGACGTGCATGCAGCCGGAGGTCTATCCACTGCAGAGAACCTCAAAACAAATACCAGCCAAGAGAGTCTGTCAGTGACACGCACATCGACTCCGCGTGGGGGTCCAGATCCCCATTGCCAGGCCGGGGCGCCTCTCCCCAGCCACTGAGAGGGTTGCCTGCCAATGGCTCAGAGCTGCCACCTTCCCTAGAGAGGGACTTCGTCCCTGAGGGACGGTCCGCCACTCAGAGTCTGCGCCTCTGGGAGGCCGGGCTTAGCCCTGGCTCCGGACCACGTCCTGGCTGAGCCCCTTTCCTGTCTCTCTGCTCCCGGCCCTCCCTCCAGCGTCCCCTCAGCAGGCCCCATGCATTCAGATTCCCGTCTCGGGCCATGCCTCCACGGAACCCACCCGACACTGTGCGGCCCCCAGGCAGGCGCACTCTGCACAGGACGTAACCTGGCCTCTCCTTTCCCTAGGTCCGCCTCCGATCCCAGGGTGCCCGGATGTCTACTTCCTCCCTCTTTGCCTGCAGCCGCCACACCAACACCCAAATTCCTGGTGCGTTCCGTGTCATCTGCGGAGTCACAGAACTCCGAGATCCCTGGAGGATGTGAGTGTTCTCTTCTCGAGGGCTCTGTTTGAAGGCCACGGCCAGCCTCTGGTTGCCAGAGAGATCTGGGCTGAGTCCAGGCTGCCACTTACTTCCTGGGCAATATCAGGCCAGGGAGGGAACCGATGCCACCATCACCCTGTCTTGGTGAGACACAGAGCCAGTGTAGGACCCAGGAGTTCCGGTCCAGAGCCCCTGCGTTTAGCCACTGTCTGGAGGCAGCGGAGGTGGGTGGGCCATCAGCGCTGGGGACAGTCCCCAGCTGCTCAGAGAACAGTAGCGGTGGAGATGATTATCCTGTTGATCAGATGATGAAGATGATAATGACAATAATGACAGCCATAAGGTCAAAGGAACACATCTAGATAAGAGAGGGCAGTAGACCAACTGAATTTCCAGAGATTCTTCCCCAAAGGCACATTTTGATGAGAAAAAATAGAGAGAAAGAAAAATCTAAACCTCAGGTTGGTGGAACGAGCACGTCTCGGAGTCAGAGGACCTCGTTGATCTGTGCCTCAGTGTGCTCATCTGTACAATGGGCCGCGATGTCAAAGTTCCACGAAGAGAGATCCTGGGTACAAACGCTGAGCCCCGTACCTGGCGTGGGAGGGGCCCTGCAGGTGTCTGCTGGTCAGAAGAAGGCCGTGTCTTAGGAGGGGACTGCAGGTGCGTCAGGGTCACTTGCAAGAGTTCCCGGGACAGGGCCATGGCTGTGTCGGCTCTTGTGACGAGGACCTTGAGGACCTGCTGCTTCCTTGAGTTTGCCGTAGTGATTTCTCTGCGTCCCAGGGTTCCCTGCTATTTCCAGGCCCTGTTTCCACACACTTGGCCTCCTTTTCCTGAGAGTGAGCTCCCCACACAGTGCCTGGGGTGCGGGGCTGAGAGGTTACTCTGTGTCATTCATTCATTGCTGCACCAGACGGCAGCTAGCACATACTAGACACTCGGTAAGTATCGTTGAGAAACCGAATGTTATCAGGAGCCAGGCCTGAATGTGACAGCAATGAACACTCATTAGCTGTCACGAGGCCACAAAGCATGTCCTTCCTCTGCTCTGTGGCTTTGGAGAAACCACCTCCCCCCACCATGGACTTGGTCCACGTAGCGTGTCAATCAAACCAGCCCTGCTTTACAGGGTTGGGACCGTGCAATGGACTCATACTGCATCTTTGAAATTTAAGAGCTTCAAGCTTGATCTGAAAAGAACAACTTTCAGAAATTTAGCTGGTCCTAGAAATTACAGTAGGAAATATTTCTAGAAAATACGCTGCCAATATTTTTTTTCTTAGAAATTTAAACATACCTTTCCAAAGAAATGGTTGGATTAAGAAGTCAAAACTGGGCCCTGGCTGGCGTAGCTCAGTGGATTGAGCGCAGGCTGTGAACCAAAGTGTCGCAGGTTCGATTCCCAGTCAGGACACGTGCCTGGGTTGCCAGCCATGACCCCCAGCAACCGCACATAGATGTTTCTCTCTCTCTCTTTCTCTCTCCCTTCCCTCTCTAAAAATAAGTAAATAAAATCTTTTTTTTAAAAAAGAAGTCAAAACTGAAATAATAAACTACTTATACGTTAATGGCACCATGTACCAGCACCTACAAGATGTGGCCAAATTAGTGCCCGGAGAACAATGTATAGCTGTGGTGGATTTATGGAGACAGAAGATGAAGAGTACATGTTCTCAACACTCAACGCAAGAGGCAGGAAAACAAACACCACCGCCGTTACCAACATTCACACATGTGCTCACACACACCGAGGGAGGAAAAAAAAAACATCTTTCACGGATTTTTTTTTCCATGGGAAAGTCTTATGACAGTGAGATGTACCTGTACGGGGAGATTTTTCTAAAAGCGATCACCAGCTCACGCAGGTTCCGCGAATCAATAACATGTAATCGTACATTGCCCTCGGCAGAGGGTGAAGCTTTCCAAAGGATGGAGTCGTTCTGGCATAACCAGTTGTGCTTTGTTTTATCCAGACCGTTGTGGGGAACGTGCCAATTGACGAGGATGAAGAGGAGGATGGTGGCGAGAGCGGAACGCTGGCCCTGGACCACGTGCAGAAGCGTCTGCCGGTGGTGCCGTGTGTACAGTCGGGTTGCGGCCTGTGGGAGGACACGGAGAGGACGTGAGTGTCCGTGGGGGGGCGGAGGACTGTCCGCCCGCCAGCCCGCGGGGTTTCCAGGGACACAGGGGGTGCGACGAACAGCGTGCTGACTTCCTCTTCTCCTATTTGATATTTATTCCGTTGACTCCTAGGCGCCCAGAGGCTCCGCTCCCTGACGCCACCCTCCGAACAGCATGCTGGGGGTGGGAGACCCGTGGGAAATCCCACCTGGGTCGTGGCAGAGCAGCACTCAGACGCCGCTGCTTCAGGGGGGACCCGGCTCTGGTCCTGTTCACAGCAGCCGCTCAGGAAGGCGCTCAGCCCCCCCGTGGGGTGTTCACTACACCCTGGACAGCGCCTACGCCTCCTCGCCGGTTGGAGGAAGGAATCGGGAAATGGGATGCTTTCCAGGACGAAGTCTTCACCCCGTTCAAGGGGGGTGCAGCTCCACCACCCCGGCCACCACCGAGCGGCGCGGAGGCCCCGGGCCGTCTGTGAGTCTGCCTCTGAATCAGCCGCACCACCGCCGGCGGGGGGGGCAGCGTCCTTAAACCGAGGTGTCCGGCGAGGTCTCCACCAGCTGATCCAACCTCCTGCAGCCCTGTTGTTTGTGTCTTTGACCTGTAAAGTGTGTAAAATGTCTTCGTCTGTTCAGGCTGCTGTAACAAAACAGCACAGACCGGGTGGTTCACGGACACTAGATACTTATTTCTCACATTCTGGAGGCTGGAGGCTGCAGGCCTCTCCCGGTTACTAGTGGTCTCATTGTATCCCTTTGTGGGAGGAGCATAGAACCCGGGCTGGGGTGTGGCTGGAGGGAAGGGGTTTCTCTGGGATCCTTTTGGTAAGGGCGCTAATCCCATTCCTGAGGGTTCCACCCTCAGGGCTTATCACCTCCCAAAGGCGCCCCCCACCTCCTGTTATTATCACCTGGGCGGGGGGGGGTGGCATTTCAACCTGTGAACTTGGGGAGGGCATAGAACATTACCTCTGTGGTAAGTGTTCCTTCAAGAAATGGTGTGAACCATTTAGCGTCATGCCTGGTTTAGGCCGAAACTCAAATTAAACGATAGCTCTCTGTGACGTACCCCTTTTTGTGCCAATTTTCTTATTTGCAAAACAAGATACACAGTGCCCATCCCGTTCTCCTTGGGGAGGGGGTGTAGGTACGCACGGTTGAGTCGCATGAAATAGTCGGTGTTTGATTCCTTTTGAGCTCTACACACAGCAGAGCCGCGTGGGCCGGTGTGACGACCCGCGGTATGTCAATTCATATCTGGGGGGACTCGTAACTAATTGTACACACGGATTGTTGCTTTATGCCCTCTCCACTCCCAGTGCCCCAGGGAAGGCACACCTCTGAGAAGAAGCAAGCCTGGAATTATGTTTTGTTTTTTTTTCCCCTCTCTTTGTTTCATTGTACACTCTTCCCCTTCTCTCCCCTGCACTCGCTCATGATCCTATTTCACCAGGCTCGGGAGGGGCGGGCTCGGATCATCAGACACAGCCCAGGGAAGGGAGCAGATTCGCTATCTTCTGCGTGAAGTCGTTAATTGATTTGATAATTGCCTAGGAGACACACACAGACGCACGCGGGCGCAGAACCACTGTCAGGCCACGCACACACTTCTCCTGACAGTAAGATGAAGATGTTTCAGTTATTGGAACTCAGATGTCACCTACCAGAATACGAAGAGGGACCGGGTGAAGAGAGGGGAGTGCAGCCGGCTTGGGGAGGGGGCGGGGGGGGCAGCGGGGGGGGGGGGAGGCAGGCCATCCCTCTTGGTTATCAAGCGGAATGACTCCCCAAATATGACAATAAATCACCGCAGGAATCAATCGGACGGGAGGCCACTGCGCCACGCTGATAATGCATCAATCAATATTTAATGTTTACACTTTAATTAATCCACACTCGGGGAGCGTCTTCCAGTGACAAAAACAAAGAGATGAGAAATAAAACACCTTTTATATATCAAGGCGCGGAGGGCCCGCTGCCCCGCTGCCTGTCTGAGCGGCTTTGATTGGACCTGCCATTGATCACCTCGGGCCTGGGCAACCTCCCGCTCGCATCTGGATAGAAAGCTCGTGTCGGGGAGGGGCCCAGAGGCGACCCAGGGTGGCACAGGGAGAGGGTGACTCCCTCAGAACTGCCGAGGAGTATGGATTTGGCAGGAGGCCGGGTGAAGCCGGAGTGCCTATTGGATTCTGAACGCTGGCGACACCCCCTCCCCGGAAAAGGGTTCTGTGGCAGAGGGTGACCTGTAACTCGCGGGGCAGGGGCGGGGTGAACAGAAAAGTCACGTGTCCTTCCGCTGTGACGAGTCCCCGTGTCGTCCCGGACACCCAGATGCCGCTGTGCCTCCCAGGACTGGTGCGTCACACTCGCAGCCCGTCAGCCTGCTTCCCACACTCCGCCCTGCGCCTCCCACCGAGCGTGTAAAACCCCCGCACCCCACGCGGACTGCAATGCCGGCAGAGCGCCGGCACGTGAATCCGTGTGCGCTCTGGTCGGCCGGTTGGCCGCCTGCCGTTTCGCAGACCTTGGCGCGAACACGTGTTCGGCCTGGCAGATCTCGGCTGGCGTGTTCAAGCCGATGCCTTTCCTTTCGGGCCTCAGACCTCTTGCCGGCCTCGAGAAGCTCGGGGCCCGCGAACACAGGCACAGAGAGAGGGTTGCTGTCAGGGAAAGGGGCCCCATGGACAGTGCTGGGTCTGGGCCCTGAGACATGGCTCAGCCTCTCTCTCTGGGAGCACCGCAGCGAGGTAAGGACAAGAGGTAAGAATGCCAGAAGTCTCCGTTCGGGTTCCCCCAGAAGGAGGCCCTAAGATAGGGATGGGAGAGGAAGTGGTTTGCGAGTGAGACAGGGAAGGAAAACCAGACCCCCAAAGGGGAAGTCGCCGCGATGGGGGACAGGGGACCCGGAGCAGACTCTCAGCTCAGGGTCAGGTCCTCTGCAGGGCTCGGAAGCTGGGTCTGTGCGCCGGCTCTCCGCCCCTGGCTGAGGGCTGCTTGCGGGGAGGTTCGTGGCCCAGCGCGCCCCACTCTCCAGCCCCCAGAGACAGCCCCGTGCAGGGAACCAGGTCTCCCCCCGAGGCGGCCTTCAGCCCGCAGACTGGGATGATGCCGGGAGGGGGACACACGCCCGCCGGGACCGCACCATCCAGACAGACCAGAGGTGACAGGCGGTGGCTCTGGCTGCACATGTGAACGAGTAAACAATAACACATTCTTTCAAACCAAAATGTGTCAGTGAGCTCTTTGTCATCCTCTCGGTAGGTCCTGCCGGGTTGGAAGCCCCTCCGTGCTGGAGGTCAGCGCACGGTCAGGGGCCATGCCCCCGAGGAGGCAGCTCAGCTCAGGGGCCAGGTGTGGGAACTGTGATGTCATCACTGCCCTGGAGCCAGGTGGTCACCCTGCGAGAGGCACGGAGACGTCGGGGCTGACCGAGGGGCCGGGGGGTGCACGAGTCCCACGTCCCACAGCTTTGGGGGCCACCCTGTCCTATTTAGCTTTCTCTCTCCGCCTCTGTCGATGCCACGCTTGACCAGTACATTTCCGGTCCGACACGCTTCTCTGTGTCTCCGTACAAATTCGACGCCACCACCCCAGGACCCGGGGAGAATACTGAGCTAATGGCTCCTGGTGTCGGTCACACCCTCCAGTTGTCAGATGCTGACTATATTGATTTAATTTTTTCCTCTTTCACAGTAAAATTGCATCCCTCCCCCCACCCTAAGTTCCCCTGAAATTTACTAAATTTACTTCAGTGGACCTGTCATTGACCTTGACACATTTCCTCTGGGCTGAGCAGGGTCTAATGCCCCAAGACTCTGGTTACAGGAAGCAGGCCCAGTCTGTGTCACTCTGCGTTGTACAGACTCTGCTATGAGGTTCTTCGCTTGCAGATAACGGAGACTGGGCTGCATTAACTTAAGCAACAAAAAAGGGACTATGGGGGGCCACTGGCCAGCCCCAGAAGGTCTCTGGTGATCTCAGTCACGACCCGTCATTCTCAAGGGCAGCCTGCACCCGGCCCAACCCCAAACACCTGTCCGCACGCACCTCTCCTGGGGAATCAGACTCCTAGGAAAGAGCCTTTGCAACCAAAGAGTGCCCTCTCGTCACCTGTCCCAGACTGAGGAGGAGTCAAAAGCGGCCCATTCCTCAGAGGAAAGGGGAAGACTCTACCCGGCAGGTGGAAAGGAACACTAACCTTTTTAGAGCGAGAGAAGTCTCGCCTTCCTACCGTTTGAATGTCAGAGGAGACTTGAGTTGAACACACACGCCCTCCTCCCTCTTGCTCTGTTTTTAAGTTTTTGTTCATTTATTTCTGTCTGGGCCTTCACTATTTCTTCTTCTGTCCACTTTGGGCTTCATTCATTCTTCTTTTTCTAGTTCCTTTAGGCGTGAGGTTACATTGTTTATTTGGGATTTTTCTCGTGTCTTGGAGTGGCCCTGCGTGGCTATGAACTTGCCTCTTAGGACGGCTTTTGCTGCATCCTGTACGTTTTGGAAGTTCGTGTCTTCGTGTTCATTTGCTTCAAGACAGTTTCTGATTTCTTGTTCGATGTCCTCGTTGATCCCTTGGTTGTCGAGCAGCGTGCTGTTTAGTCTCCACGTATTGGTGGGTTTTTTTCCCCCTAGTTTTTTTCCCTGCAGTTGATCCCTAGTTTCATGCCAGTGTGGCTAGAGGAGATGCTTGATATGACTTCGATCTTCTCGAATCTCCCGAGGCTTCTTTTGTGGCCTGATATGTGATTTATCCCAGGGAAGTTTCTATGTATCCTTGGAAACCGTGTATTCTGCAATTTTTTTGGATGAAATGTTCTAAAAATGCCTATTAAGTGGATCTCTACTGTGATGCTTAAGGCCATTCATTCATTGTTAATTTTCTCTCTGGATGATTTACCCATTGATGTGAGTGGGGCATTAAGACCCCCTACTATTGTTGTATTACTGAGGATTTCTACCTTTATGTCCATTAAGAATTGCTTTCTGTATTCGGGTGCTTGTATGTTGGGTGTGAGGAGAGTTGCCATGGTCACATCCTCTTCTTGGGGTGACCCTTTTATAGTTACGTCATGTCCTTCTTTGTCTGTAAGACGTTTCCTTTGATTGTTTTGCAGTCTGTTTTGTCTGATACAAGTATTGCTACCTTAGCTTTCTCTTCGTTTCTATTTGCATGGAGTATCGTTTTCATCCCTTCGCTCTCTGGATGTGTCTTTTGCTTTGAAGCGTCTTGTCAGCAGCGTACAGATGGGTCGTGTTTTTACACCCATTCAGCCACCCTGGGTCTTTTTACTGGAGCGTTTCATGCCTTCACACTTAAAGCGACTGTCGGTGACTATGGGTAGGAATGTAGTTATTGCCGTGTTGTTCGAGGTCTTTAAGTGGTCCTCCGTCCCTTTCCTTGGCCCCGGTGGTCTGCTGGTTTTCTTTGGTGCTTTATTCAGGCTCCTTGCCCTCTGACCTTTGTAGATCTTATGGAGACACCCTGAGGTTTATGTGTATCAGTCTTTGTCTATAGCA